ACCTATTCGTTGTTTCGAGCAGTGCAGTGACCGTACTGTGCATTGTTCGGAATCCAGACTGACATTTATTCAGTAATTTATTGCACGTTAAATAGTAATCAAATTGGTCGTGAATAATACTTTCAAATAATTTTGCAATGGCTGAAATAATTGAGATTGGACGATAATTGTTGAGGTCGTGTTTGACACCATCTTTATGGATAGGTGTGACATTGGCGATTTTCCATTCTTTTGGGTATATGCTAGTGCAAAGTGATTTGTTAAATATATGCGTCAGGGAAGGGGATACAACATCCCTAGCTAACTTTAGTAATTTGCATGGAATGTTGTCGGGACCACTAGATTTTTTTGTGTTTATCCTTCCAAGCAAATCTTTAACATAGTTAATCTCAATTGTCTTGAAGGAAAACACACTATTTGTATAGAGTTAATATAAGATATTGGGTTGACATCAATTATAGGAATACTTTTAGCGTTTCAGTTCTTCGAACGCCCTGTCATGTGTGTCTAGCCAGTGAAATGCGACATTTTTCTTGATTAATTCGCGTAGGGGGGCGGTGACGTCAGAGACTTTAAGAGCAAACATGGCAATAAAGTTAACCATGCCCAGAAGTCTCTGAACATCCTGTTTGTTGGTGGGCTTGACGTAATCTCTTATCGTTTTAAGTTTGGCGCCATCCGGCTTAACGCCTTCTTGAGTTAGTCTCTCGCCGAGATAGGTAACTTCCGTTTGACGAAACTGGCATTTCTCTTGACTCAAAGTCATGTTTATTTCTTGGACGCGATTTAGAACCTGTTCGAGACGTAAGTCGTGTTCGTCGATTATGCGTCCCCAGATGAGAATGTCGTCAATGTCAGTTTCACAGCCAGGAATATCGTTGAATTTCTCGTGGACCGTTTTGTGGAAAACTTCTTGCGCGAAGACCATGCCAAAGGGAACAACAGTAAAGCGATAACGCCCGAATGGTGTGTTGAACGTCGTGAGATACGAGCTTTCGTCATCGAGCGGCATTTGCCAAAATCCAGACGTTGCATCGAGTTTACTAAAGAATTTCGCACCTGTCAAGCGACTAGTGATTTCCTGCTGTGTAGGTAATTGATAATGTTCTCTGCGAATCGCCTTGTTTAGATCTCGAGGATCGATGCAAATTCGGAGTCGTCCGGACCGTTTCTCATTGACGACCATCGAGTTTACCCACGCGGTTGGCTCATTAACTGCTTTTATAATGCCTTTGCTCTCCATATCGAAAAGTTCTGCTTGAACTCGATCTCGTAATGTTGCCGGAAGCTTACGAGGCGGGTGAACTACCGATGTGACGCTATCATCAATCTTGATGTGATATGGCTCGGATATTCTGCCAATACCTTCAAAACAAGGGGCATATTTCTCAAATATTTGTTCAGTTGTTAGCCCCGTGAGTTCGCTTTTTGCCGTCCCGGGACTCGATGCTTCGTTGTTGAGTTGATTCACGTTGTGGAATGATACAAGTTTCATGCTCTTGCAATTGGTACAACCCAAAAGAGATCTACCGCTTTCGACAACATGGAACTCGAGAATCTGTGTTACGTTTTTGTATTGACAGCGAAGATAACATTTTCCTAGCACAGGAATGTTATGTCCACCAAACGCAGTCAATTTTGCAGTGCTGGGTTTGAGTTTGTTATTTCGCTGACGTTTTGGTATAACCTTCAGAAAATGATGATGAGTGAGAATGGACAGAATGTTCGTTTCCGCGCCAGAATCGAGCTTTAGTCGCACTGGCGTATTGTTAATTTTCAGTGTGGCGTGTTCATTCTCTTGCATCGTGGGGCTTTGAACCGTATCAATACCGTGCTCAGATACGTCGCTGTCTACTTCGATATCATTCACTGGTTTGTTTTGTTTTGTCTTCGAGCGACAAAACTTGGCATAGTGTCATAACTTATGACAGTGATTACAAGGTTTGCCGTACGCTGGACAGGTTTTGGGTGCATGAGATCGTCCACAGTTGCCACATGCTTTACCCCGTTGTTGTTGATTGTTGGATTTCTGGTGGGACGCTTCGTGAGTGTAGCGGTTTCGTCGATCTCGTCCTAAAGTATCAATGTTGTTTTTCTTCTCACCGCCGCACAACGATTTTAGTTGATCTCGAGATGTCTCTGCAGCTCGGCATATATCTATAGCTTTCTGTAAGGTCAAATCGTTCTCGCGTAACATACGTTCTTTCAGGGTTTGTGCTTTAATACCGCAAACGATTCTATCGCGTATCAAGCCGTCGTGTAGACTTTCGAATTCGCAGGTTGCTGCCAAAGTACGTAAAGCGGTGACATACTGATCAATAGTTTCATTCTCGTCTTGGTTACGGGTATTTAATTTATGTCGTTCAAATGTCAGGTTTTTCCTCGGGTTGCAGTATGCTTTAAAAGCTGTTTTAAGTTCCTGAGTTGTTCTCTTCCAAACTGTCGCGCCTTCGGTGTTTGTTGACGTTTCTGGAGTTGAGAAAGCTAAAGTTTTGTGTACTTCTCTCGCTTTTTCTCCTATACATAGCAAAAAATAAGAACATTTCTCCTCTTCTGACTTTCCTTTGGGCTCTGTTTTTTCGAATAGCGTCCAGTGCTCTTCGAACTTGCGAAAATTCTCGCTTACGTTGCCCTCCAAATGCAATGGTTTGGGTGGTGCCCACTGAATGCTGCCAGATGCCATTAGTCGTGTTTTAGTCGTGAGTGTTGTTCACTCCTGACACCATGTAATAAGTTCTAGTCTTTTATTTATAACTGCTATAGTATTATACATATGTTACGAGCGAAATTTATAGTGTAGTGAATCGTTACAACAATCTCTAATAATTATCAGTTCTTAATATAATGTTCGTCTTCTTGTAGTAGTTTCCTAAAGTTCACTTCATTTCACTTTGCTCATCAGTCTTCACTTTACTTCACTTTACTGATCAGTGTCCACTGACGAATTTGGGTTGTGCACGCACTTTTATACTAACGGTTGACAGGCGCAGATCCAGACCGTGGCAAAAGTGGCTCGAGCCCCGGTCAGATTTTTCCCACCCAGGATTTTCCGGGGTTCACCTTTGTTGGATACTGCATTAGACTGCATTACGCATTTTTAAGAAGTATATATATTAGTTATTTGAAATGCAGCAAAATTGAGCAAATATAGGTCTATAGCAAACAATTTGAATAACATCTTTTGTAATTGTTCTCATATTACAGTAATATGTGCTAAAAGCAGGAAAATCTTCTGAAATATATTCCTTGTTCAATAGTATAATTATCCAGTTAAACACTGAACTATAAAAACCGCCGAAAGCGTACCGAATTGTGCCGAATATGTTCGGAAAACAGTCGTAAATTCGAAGCTGCGATCACAGCCACAAAATGCCACGGTCAGCGTGCAAAAAATTGCGCAATTGTTACTAAATATAGTAACTTTCTGCAACGGTGCAGCGTTGCAAACCAATCACAGGGCAAGTTGTGGTCATGTGCGCCACGGTCTACCACGGTGGCTCTATTTTGATTGCGCAATACAAATGATCAACAATAAAGTTCGATACTTGTCGACTTGACGGGATAAAGAATAATACATCACAAGCTACATGGTGCTATCAGGATGGAAGCTTTTAAAAAAAGTCGATGTTCTTAGGAAGCTCGTCGAAATCTTTCAACAAGCAAACCTAAGCGAACATATTTCAGGGGAATTATCGCTCTTGAGGCAACAATATGATGAATTTATCACTGAAGAAAGGTTGCGCCGTATGAAATCTACTGGCGACATCATGCTGCCAACGTGTGAATTTTCAAAACTGCGGTTCTCCAAGAGCCAAAATGAAAGATCTGGGCCTAATGTTCCTGTTAGGTGAGAATTTTTAATCGACTTATATTAAATTTGCATTTACGCTGGGGTCAGGGAATAATTTGTGCGTGCAAATTTGTATGTATGTAAACTTTTGTTAGTGAAATAATAATATGATCCTCGAACACATGGCGGTTGTCAATAAAATATAAATTGCGTTTATCCGCTATGTAGTCGTGAAATATTAGTAAAAACTCTGTTTAAAACTGTTATCAGTGTTTTGCTACAGTTTATGGCTACAACATTTGATTGTCGACTGTAAAATGAAATGTTTACTTCAGTATTGGGTCTATATACAGGTAGTCGTCTATTTGGTTTCACCAAGCTTTAAATATAGCGCCTTAATATTTGTAAGTTGAGCAGGGGTCGGTTGTTTTAAGCTAAGGCTAATCCTTGGTTAAAATTTAACCTAGTGTTTTTGTTTGTGTGTTTCTGCATGCCTGTTTACTTCGAAGCTTTGAAGAAAAATTTCATTCATCCAGACAAGATTTCTGAAGAAATATTTCTAAATTGCTCGTGTGATATTACTCTGAGTGTAAGGGAGATATGAGTTTGTTCCAACTGATAACAGCCGCATATGTTCAAACCATTTTCCAGATGGCAAACCTACCAATAAAAATCCAAATCCCATACTTTATTTGACATTAGATGACTACCGACACCCAAAAAAAATAAACTTACGAGAGAGTCCTAAAAAAAAAAGAAAAGTTTCCTCATGCAGCCCTCAGCCTTCATGTTCAACAATGGATGAACAGGAGGAATGTTCAGAAAACCCTATTCCTGCTATTGATAATGTCAACATTGCCATTGCAATGCAGTTTGCTCAAATTACTAGAGAAAGTGATGTTAGATTTTTTACTGGGTTTGAGAGCACAAAAAGTTTCCAAGAAATATTCAACTTTTTAGTGCCAAGAGCACGACTGATGAAATATTGGGAAGGTGTAAAAACAAGTTCCGGTGTAGAGAGAGAAGAACCTAATCAGCAAAGAATTGATACCATAATATTATCAAATGTGTATGCGGAAGGATCTGTATTGCCCATTAACAAACCAGGACCTCAGCGAAAGACTACCTTAGAACAAGAATTTTTATTAACTGTCATGAGATTGCGTCTGGGATTGCTCATTAAGGACTTGGCTTTTAGATTTCAAATTTCAACCACCAGAGTTTCTCAAATCTGGATAACTTGGGTCAAGCTTTTATCGAAAGAACTACGGCACCTCATTATATGGCCATCTAAAGGTCAAATATATGCTACTTTACCAGATGCCTTCAAACGCTTTTATCCAAAAGTCAGAGTCATCATTGATTGCTCAGAAGTTTTTTTGGAGACGCCGTCATCTCTGGAGGTTGGTGCATATCTTTGGAGTGATTACAAGCACCATTACACTTTCAAGTTTTTAATAGCCATCACACCAAATGGAGCAGTTTCATGGATATCTCCATGTTATGGTGGAAGGACAAGTGATGTTTTTATTGTTAGAAACTCTGGATTTTTAGACTTACTTGAACCTTATGACACTGTTATGGCAGACAGGGGGTTTAAGATAAAGTCAGACCTCACAATGAAGAGATGCTATTTAGCAATCCCTCCAAGTGCAGCTAAAGGCAATCAAATGATATCAGATGATGTCGCTGTTACAAGTAAAGTTGCCAATGTAAGAATCTTTGTTGAAAAAGCCATTGCAAGAGTTAAATGGTTTAGAATTTTATCTACGGAACTTACTATGTTGGAACTGCCATTGGTTGATGACATTCTTATAATATGTTGTGCATTAGTGAACTTATTTCCTCCATTGCAAGCTGAGAAAATTGACATTGACACATGAATTGCACATAAATTTCCCAAGACTTTATTCAAGGGAATGCAGAAATATTACAGTGGTTTTACAGTGGTTTTACAGTGATTTTAATCATATAAGTCATGATTTAGGAACAGTTACTATTTTTAGACTTTTAGGGTTTGGATTATGGTTTGGATTGGGATTATGGTTTGGATTAGAATTAAGATTAGGGTTAGGATTAGTAAGAGTTAGGATTAAGGTAAAGGTTAAACCTTTAAGTCTCAATGCCCAGATGTATCCTACTTTATTATTTTGCTGTCTAAAGCCAGATGATTTTAATTGTGAGGGGGAGAGTGCTGCCACTCAATGGGTTAAAATATAAAAGAATACAAAATTACAAAAGTCTAAAAATATTAACTGTTCCTAAAATGTGACAGGTATACTGTCAATTAACAGAAATGTTTGTTAAACAAAGTAAACACAACCATTCTCCATCCACAACATCATCAAGCCCTTGACACTTCAGGTGATACCAGCAATTACACTGGTCACAACAAATACTTCTAAGATCAAGTTCATTCTCTGCAATTTCATTTTCTTCAAATAGTACTTTTTCACATGATCCACAAAACTCGATAGAGTTCAATCTCAAAATTCTCTCAGCCACATAACTTTTAAAAAATATTTCCAAGTTTGTAGATACAGCTTCCCAATGATTTTTGTTGAACTCAATGTTTTGCACAAGAATGTCTTGGGATGTCCAGACAACAAAATATCCACATGTAGAATTGCTTAGAGCAATCTGGGAATTAATTTGTGTGTAATACTTGTGACTTGTCTTAAGAACAATTGAATCATCTTCCAATGTCAGAAAGTCACACTTTCCATATCCATCAGCTATTTTACTATCCTTTATACTGAATGGGCACTTTATTTCAATGACAGCTTTACCGTGGCATTTGCAGTACAGTATTCCATCTGGGGATGCACCAATGTATGCCCTATTTTTGTCCAAATAGAGTCCACTTTTCTCAAGCTTGAAGTCAATATGTTTTGTTGCTTCTAGAGCATAGAACTCTTTAAGTGCTTCTTCTTCTCTGCATTTCCCCCATTGGACAGCTGCAACTTTGTCCAACTTTTTGTCTTGGTACAATAAACTTAAAACTAATGGAGTAGTCTTTGGTTTGACAGGAGTTCTGGTTTTCATTATTGTGTTAATTTTGGTATAATATTCATGGTGTTTTGAAGCTGTCAGTCGTCCTTTTCGATGTTCAATCCATTCCTTAGAGTTTGATTGGTTTCGTGTGCATCTCTCAACAGCTGCGCATTCTTTTTCAGAGAAACAAAGTTTTTTTAAAAGTGTTGTCATCTTTTCATCTTTATCTTGGCAATCAATTGAGACCTCATTTGCTATATTTATCACAGTTAAATTATGACATGTCACTGAATCAATAGACATTCCCTCGATAGACTTAAAAAGTACAGCAGTTGGATTAGACTTTTGTATTCCATTTAATAAAAGTGTCAAACGCTCATTAGTCATATTTTGTTGCAATTTTTCCCTGGGGTAAAACTTATTCAATTCAGCCATCCTAACTTCTTCCCTATTTGAACTGGTAGCTTGTTTTGACCTTAGTTTTTTTCTGACAACAATGTCAGCAATCTTTTTAGGTTCAATAATAGTTGTTGTTGACTTATTCCATCCACAGGGAATAGAGGTGCAAGCAGGAGAACAAAATCCTTGAGAGTTAGCATATTCTACTTTGTACAATGTTGCTATTATATGATTGCAACATCCACTGGCACCTGCCATACAAGAGCACCAAGCAGTAAGAACTTTACCATCAGGTTGTGTTGCAACCCAAAGGTCTTTTTCTTCATTTATAGACATGGACGCTCTTACATTACAAAGTAAAATTATGAAAGGGCCTGTCTTATTCGTCAGTATTTCTCCAACAAAGCCGCTGTCAAAATAACTGTATGCTTTTTGGTCCTTGTATTTGCCGATATACTCAGTGTCGAATTCCCTTTTGTTAAGTATGTACTAAAAAATTTGTCCCAAAGTGACTGGTGGCCAGGTAGTCAAATTATCAATTTTCTGATCCTCTGAGATTAGCTTTGGATCTGGTAAACCAAACTCATCAAGTTTTTCGCATAGTCATTTTTTAAAACTTTAGTTTGTTCATCACAACTCATAATGATTGGAAGATCCATTTCCGCGGCGGAAAATGCTCGTGCAATCAATTCTGCTTTTTTGTATCCACTCACCGATATTCCTCTCACTGTAAGATAATCCTGAAGAGCCTGAACATTCATATT